AGGACTCCCAGTGTTAAGAAGAGACTCTGACTGATCACAGTTTGACTCGATGTCTTGGTGCCTCGTCTGTCTTGACTTCTTAACTGTCATGTAAGAACAATAACATAATGAGATAAATAAACATTTCATTGCATTGCTAAAAAGCTAACAATGTTTGTTTTTAATTTTACTAAATTAAAAAAATATTTTAACTGTAGCAAAAACTCTACATTTAAATAACAAATAACAGTACAATAACTGTAACTTACAACATAATGTGTAATATGTCCAGGCAGAAGCAATGATTAAAACACCAATAGCGATTCCAACAGCTCCTCCTATCAGGGCCCATTTCAGATCCCTGCTTTGGTCCATTTCAGCTGAAGTTTCATCTGGTGAGGAGTTAAACTGAGAGGTTGGTAAACATACTGCTGTGTTTTTAAGGTAAATAATAAGCCACAGATGATGTGATGGAGATGTTTTCTCTGTGAATAGAACAACCTCTTATCTTCAAAGTGATGGAAAACAATTACACCTGTGTATTGATTCATATTAAACCCATTTAAGTTTAATAGAATAAACAGACTGAAAAATATCAAAACATGAAAAGTAAACCTGCAACACAAAAAAGCAGAAGTGGAAACCAGCTTACACAGATGTGAGTTTCACTGAAAGAAACTCACCAGCAGAAGAATCGGAGGAAACACGGAGGAAGAGAATCCACCAGATATAAAAACAAAGAACAGTCTTCATGGCAACAGGAGGATCTGATACAGGAGGAGAACCAGGATGTTGAAACACTAAAGCACCAGCAGAACGCAACCTGAGAAGAAACCAAACAGAAATACAAGTTGAAACATGAAGCTGTAGATTTTGTTGAATGGCTAACTAGACAAAACTAAACATTTTAAGAGCGTACCGGTCGTGTTCTGATGAAATCTGCTCACCTCAGCCAACCTGAGTCCACAATAACAAACTGGGACAAAGTCCTGCAATAAACTACAGTTTATGTTTAGTGACGTGAACGTGTCATATTATTTTTATTGTTCTGTTTCAACACAGTGAAAAATCCCCATATAAAATTTTGAGTAAAATAATGTCCATCAGTTTCTTAAATAGATTTGAAAAAGTTTTCATTCATCAAAGTCGATTTTGGAAAAACAGACATTTCTTGGTTTAATTTAACTCAACTACATCTGTGACTCAAACGTTTGGCATATATGGTCTTTTTGTTTCTAAAAACTGACCTAATTTTTTTACTGCAAACAGCCCAAACCCTTCCACCACCTGCCAGTATCAGCCTGTCAAACATTAAAGTTAAAATAGGATGCAGTCAGCATAAAGCCTCATCGTGGATCAGACTTTATGCTGTTTTTAAATGAAGGTCAGTCAACAGGAAATGTTCTGGTTGTGAACAGAACAGTTCTTGTGATTAGGGGCATTTAATGGTGTTGCTCAGGTTGTAGCCAAATCTTATTAAGGTTGTTACACCAAACTAACAACCAAACATTAAAACTTTAACCCTAATAAGTTAAAGATGACAGATGATTTTTGTTACAATTGACTGATTTCACCAAGAATAGCACAATAAACAGTGTTACACTTTAAAAATAGAGCACTAACAACAGGTTAATTCACAAACCCACTAAACTTTTTACATTTTTGAATTTGACAAAATATTTTATGTTTTATATAGTTATGGGCACAGCTGCTTTAAGAACTCATTTACACAACTTATTTAATGATGAATACAAAACCAAGAAACAGAGAACAAAACAGATTTATTTGTTAATAGAGCATAGAAGAATTATACAAGAAACCTATATTTCTTGTATAATTTTTCTTGGTTGATACTGGCCTATTGTTAACTTGTCATTTGAAGTTAACAATAGGCCTCAATTGGAGCATATATTGTCAAATACAAGTTGGTACATGGCCCTTTTCCATTTTTTCAGTTATTGTGTCAATAATAATAATAATAATAAACTTTAAACCCTTTTGTGTGTCATCACTGTCCAGATGAAAGAATTTAATATACTGATATTTCAGGTTTAATGTCCTGAATATGTTTTAATTCCTGCCAAACTGGATGAAAAATGAGTGAAACTTAAACAAAGTCTAGTCCTCAGATGTTTTATAAGGTTCAAACACTCGTGGAAATCATCTTGTGAATTCATGCAGAGATTCAAAGACTGATTATTGTTTTATCATGGTGCAGAGATCAATACCTGGATAATATTTAAACAAAAACCAGGTTAGGCATCAAAATGAAACAAAATGTAAATGTGCAGAAACAGATTCTAACATTTATGCATTGTAGACATGCTGCTCTTAGAAACATTTAGAGCTGGATCAATAAACATTTTTAAGTTCACATTTGGAACAAATAATATTTGTTTAATTACTGCTCCATTTTATTTCAAACACTTTATTTTCTGAACACCATCATCTTCTGCTGTTTTCTAAACATCCTTATTTTCCTCCATTGTTCTCATCATATTCATCTCTATAGGTTCCATCACCTTCTCTATGTTCAGTATCTGTCTTTCATAAAATTTCTTCTCCTCATCCAGTTTCCACTGAGACTGTAGCAGCTTTTCTTTCTCCCCTAATAACATCTCTTTGTCATCAGAGTTTTTTCTCTCAGTGATTTTTTTCTCCACCATCTGAACTTCCTCTTTGTTTTTCTTCCTCTTAGTCTCAACATCTTGGAGTTTGTGGACCAGCTGATCCTTCTGGGTCTCCAGTTCAGTTTTGACTTTATTCAGTGTGTCATCTAACTGCTTGTTGACGGGTGGAAGTTGATCCTTCTGCAGTTCATGTTTTACTGCATTCAGTGTGTCACATAGCTGCTTGTTGTCCTGCTGGAGTTGCTTTAAGTCGCTCTGCAGCTTGGAGCTCTGATCTATTAAAAGAAAAAAGGACAAACTTTAAAAGACCAAAATTATGATGCAAAATACCAAACAATCAGATCAAGATGTTTGTAAATCCTATCAGAAGTTGTTAAGGAGTGAAAGCTTCTTCAATCAACACGGAGCTCGGATGTCTTTTTACTGAACATTTCTGTTCAGTTTTTATTGAGGAGAAAACGGCCACAGCCGTTTGTTACCTAGCAACCAAAATCACAGAAGTCACAAATACCGAACTAGATCCTGTTACGCATTCTTCAAAATAAAAGACTTCCTCTAACCAAATAAATCATTCCTCATACTTAAATATGTTTTGCTTCAGCTTTTGTAATCATGTTACATTCAATTAGTAATAATCATCATGTAAATTATGCTTAACATATAATTGTAAGTAAGTCACTTATCATGCGAATTATACTTAAATAAGTGTAAAGAAGTCACAACAGTTTTTTTCTGTATTACATTAAAATCCCCCTTAACACTAATGATGTCACTGGTGTCCTCATGGACCCATTGATTTGCATGTAATTGCCTTGAGAATTTGCCTGATAACTACTAATGACTAGAGTCCACCTGTGTGTAATCTATAGGAGCCATGATGGACACAGCAAACATGTGGAAAATGATCTTTGGTCAAACCAGAACAAGACTAAACATTTTGGCCAAAATGCAAAAGGCTTTGTGTGAAGGAGAACCATCACTGGCAGCATCCTGGTTTCACTTATCACCTCCTCTGACCTACTGGTCGTCTCAGTTTCAGTCACAGTTTCAGTAGACTGTCCAGTGAGTTGCTTACTTTCTCCTAAACGTAGCAAAAGCATTTTTTAATTTTTATTAGCAAAACAATTTGAGAACTACTGAGTAACTGTAACTTACATTTGACTGTCATGAAGTCACCAACAAACGCTCCAATAACCATTCCA